TGATTGTTAGTTGCTTAACGTACAGTTGCAAATATTTTACAAAGTTATAGGGGTTTAACGTATTAGTAAAAAATATAATTCTAAATAGTTATAAAAGAAGTAGGGTAAATTTCCTCTGTTTTTTTTTCACTATCGGGACTAAAGGCAGAAAGTTGTTCAATTTTTTTTTTATTTGAAAATTTAAAATGGAAAGTACATAATTATATGAACCTATAGTACTGTGAATTTTAGTGAAGATTGATAGTGTGGCAAAAATTCAGAGGAAAATTTGCCCTACTTCTTTGTTTTATATTATACATTTATTTATATTTACCTTTTATACTTATAAGTTAAATGTATATGCTTATAAAGAAAGGAGATGTGCTATGATTAACAATGAGACAACTATCCACCAGTTACCAAAGGGCGAGGATATAAATAACTACCATGGGTCGCCGTAAGTCATTCAATTGTGAACAAACACTACATGGTATTGTATTAAGCTGTAAAGTGATTCGACATGACAAAATGTAGAACCATTCATAAAAGAAAACTGAAAATTATGAATGCTAAAAAAAATAAATAAGAAACAAATATGATAGAAATCAATCAACGGTACCCACTTAATGGGAGGCTCTTAACTTGGGCCAAAAATGTAAGACCTCTAACCTGCAGGGAAAGTGGTGTACCAATACAACATAACAAACTTAATAAATCAATTTGAAAAGGGCTCGTCTCAGCAAATGGGCACGAAATATGACAAAAATCTTGACACAAAGAAAAGTATACATTACCGATCTAACAGTACTTGGATTTACCGAAAGCTAATTTTCATCTAACAAATAAGCCATGTTTTCCCAGATTAGAATCAACCAGTACACATCCAATGGATTTAGCTATATAGGTTATGGATGTTATAAACACCACCTCGGTGGTGTTGTGGTAGCGTGTTCGCATTGAATCAGAGATATCGTCTGTTTGATCCCAGTCTCGTAAAAATAATTACTTTAAAATTGGTATTTGTGTATTCACCGCCTAGCACGTGGCATTAAGGAATAAGACCAAGGACTGGTCGGCCCGTAGTACTAACGTTTTGTCCAAGTATGATGACCCTATGAACAATTTCGTTGAAAATCATTATCATCATCATTATCCTCCTCCTCCTCCTCCTCCTCCTCCTCCCCCTCCTCATCGTCACCGTCATCGTCCTCCTCCTCCTCCGTCATCATCATCATCATCATCATCATCATCATCATCATCATCATCATCATCATCATCATCATCATCATCATCATCATCATCATCATCATCATCATCATCATCATCATCACATCATCATCATCATCATCATCATCATCATCATCATCATCATCATCATCATCATCATCATCACGAACGTTTTGTCCAAGTATGATGACCCTATGAACAATTTCGTTGAAAATCATTATCATCATCATTATCCTCCTCCTCCTCCTCCTCATTCTCATCCTCATCGTCATCGTCATCCTCATCCTCATCATATCATCATCATCATATCATATCATCATCATCATCTGAATGAAGGTTTTGGTATCATACTTTTAGGTAAGATGTGGTTTATGTGGTTGTATATTTATGGTGAAAAGTGTCATGTATCTCTTTTGGGCATATATTCTTAATGAAGCACTACAAGCCCATCTTAGATTGGACGTATAATGGTATACTGTAGTTTGTTTTAACCAATTCACACAAAATTACAACAGAACCTTAGGTTAGATACTAGTAGTAGAATTCAAGCTTATTTTTTTTATTTTGAAATTCTTTTGTGGCGTAATTCCAGAGATACTGTTTGATTTTAAAATTTATGATTTTTCATTCCACAGTAATGGTACTTTGACGGTAAGATTGGTAAAATGTTATATTCTACATGTCATGCAACAGACCTAGTATACTTGGATCTTTTTATTACAAACTTTAAACTGTGTTGTTGGTATTGGTGAATCTAAACTCGCTTAGCAGTCATTTTTTTTTTTTTTCATTTTTGACGCAATATTTAATTGAATATGGATATCCTCATGCGTTTTCTTATACACAGCCATTTTACTAACTTGTTATTAGATGCCTCCACAACATTCAAGATAATTCTCATCAAAATGTCAATGCACAATTCAGGGGTATCATATGCTCTTGGTGTAGTTGGTTTATTTTTTTTTCATATATATATCACTTGGTTTTATAACATGGGATACAAGTATTGTAAAATAATTCTTGGAGATCATTGGCAGTAATATGTATTTTATGTTGGTGCATATACATATATAGTCAGATGAGCACTCAGAAACTTGTTTATCTTATTTATCAATATGGTTTGACACGACGTTATGTAGCAAGTTAAACCAGTAAAGAGGGTGGTAAAGGGTTATTTCGTGCAACGTGTTTTGCCATTTTTATTTCACGTGCAGCCTTGAAAAAGGTTCGGGATTCACCGTGTTTCGTGAAATCGGTAAAAAGATCAACGTGCAAGAAATTTTTAATTGTTCGTTCATTGTGAAATGGCAATTTTATTTCGCGTTCTTCCGTGCAGATACCCCCCCCCCCCCTTTTACGCCCCTCAGTAAAGGCAAAATTATTCATTGATCGAATCCTGAATATCCATACTGTATCTTTTTCCGTTTGTGATATCTTCTCCTGTCCGTGTCGTGTTCCCAGTTCTGCATCTCATGAATATCGCATGGAACTAATAGTTTCACACCGTGATGCAAAGCAAAATGACAAAATCAGCAAATGACAAAATCAGCAAATGACTTTTTAATTTGAAGACATTACACAACACTGTATATTAAGCCTTTAACACGATCATTGTACAAGAACTAGTTAATTTATGTCACCAATGCAGTATTGTACTTTATGTTTAAACACACAAAATAAAAACTAAACAAAACATGCAGACAACACAGATTAAACATTTAGAAGAATGCATTGGTAGTGGGAAAAACACCTTAAGTTTAACATAATAATCAATACTACAATACGTTACTTACATAGTCATATTTCTATTCAGCTGTACATGGCATACAGAAAACATACCATTTAGTTTAGATTTTTAGAGATAGAACAGTAAGTAGATATAAGAAGATGTGGTATGAGTGCCAATGAGACAACTCTCCATCCAAGTCAAAATAAATAGCAGGCGTGGATGAGTATTTATACATCCAAACACCATAATATATAACTAACAATTAAGAACAGAGATATAATAAACATGTGAAAGCTCTCTCACAGGCAAACAACCTATAATTGTAAAATATAAGGGCATACACCACAAGCAGTGGACACATTCTACTGCATCCACACAGCACGAACAACAAACCCTGCAGTAAATAGATATAAGAAGATGTGGTATGAGTGTAGATTGTATTTGATGCATAATATTGACAATGTAAGTGTACGCAATAAACAACATGAGACTAAGTAAGAATTATGAAAATGATTCAATAAACAACATAAAAGTGGTCGACAAGTGTACATCAGTTACTTTACTTAAGTAATATTACTTTATGATGCATTTTCTCTTCACAGCCTGACATAATTAGTTTCATACATATCTCGTTAGCATGGAAAATTTGTCATCTCGTTCGAATTCCATTTGATTGTTTCCGTGCAAGAGGATGAATTTAATAATGATACTTTTTCCGTGTTGTCTATTGTTTGTCTTTTAATCGTGTACATCTTTTGGCCTTGTCAATTTTATCTATTTTTTTCTTCGACTATTGTTTTTTTTTATGTTACATCCCTCCCCCTTACAAGGTATTTTCTCTCTTTATTTCCCCCTCAATTATGCTTAATTTCATTCACATGAATTCTGATAACTTTCTAATCTACGTATGTATGTTTGTATGTTTACTGCATCTAGTTATAATTGGAATGAAAATATTTCAATGAAACAGCAACACAAAGACACACAAAAAAGAGAGACAAAACTCTGAATCGCTCCGAATAAGATAAAGTAGACTAAGTGAATACATTTAATAGATAATATAAAGCTCTGCCATTGTTTTCAAATTGAGAAATATTTTTTTAAGATAAGACAATCATAATATAAGACATCACCAACACATGCTCGTGACTATATAATAGGGTTTAGGATGTACTTAGGTGAAATTCAAAACATCTAGAATTAAAAATTGATAGTATAAGTCAGAAGATTATATTATTTAGTTAAGGAACAAAACAAGCTAAAAATATTGATAGGTTATGGAGCTCCTTTTCGAGATATTTATTTTTTTTAAATGGCGGGAAAAGGCTGACTCGGACTTTTACCTTATGTTTGCATTGGTATTATTTGGGTCTCAAATCGAAAGAAAAGAAATCTAGAATCTGCTTTAATTTTGATATATGACCTTTTATGAGCTATTGAAGCCTTTTATGAAAAGAAAAATGGGTGTGATTGGGCAAAATATTTTACCCTGCATCGTAGGAAAAAAACCAAGGAGTCCGAACATCTTACAAAAATTCCTAGACCTGACCTAAATACATCCTTAAAGCTAGTTTACAGACCTTTTTATACCGATCAGATGGTTGCAATGGGTGCAGTGATATTTTCATAAGCCACGATGAACTACAAATGCTAAGGCCCGCGTCATTAGAACTCTGGTGTATAGTTGTCTAATTGTCAATCATACCACATCTCCTTATTTTAATAATTGTAATTTCCCGAGTCAGCCATAATTCTTCGTTCAACGTTTGTTTAGAAAGCTCATTATTTCTGAATTATATAAACTGAACATATTCACAAATGAAACAAAATGCAAATGTTTTCAATTTTCACAAATGATACTGCACTAGAACAGATCCACAGGGTTATATGCATATTGCAGATATATCTGTTTGTCCGTAAACAAAATTACTGATACTATCAAGGTTATTATGTTGACATTTCCCATAAGTAAAAACCTTTATAGTTTGGAATGGTTCATTAATCATATCAATTATAACGCAGTATGTTAATAACCTTGCTAAATGTTTTGCAACAGATGCGGGAAATAAAATTGTTGTTAAATTACTATGATGATATTTTACACTGATAATGTAGCGAAGTACATGTAACGCAGCTGTCTCTCTAGAAACCTCGTCAACATGGATACGGTTATTTTAAATGTTGGAGGAACAATTTTTGAGATTTCATGGAAGCTTTTGAAAAGTTATCCGGGCACTAAACTTGCAGAGCTTTCTGAAAACTGTCCAGAATTTCGAAAAGAAAAAAATGAGTATTATTTTGACAGGAATCCAGAAATTTTTAACGTGATTTTAGACTTTTATCGCTATGGTGAACTACATTTCCCATCAAACCTCTGTACACGACTGCTTCAAAAGGAATTAATTTTTTGGAATATTGAGAGCAGTATAGAATCATGCTGCATGCATCCTTACTTAAAATTTGAAAGCCAAGTTAAATTGTTGGATAAAATAAACGAATCAAAGAGCACTTGCCAGGAGTGTTTTGATACTCTTCCTCGTGGTTTGCGGTTTCGGAGAACGATATGGACTATAATGGAAGAACCATTGTCATCCAAAGCAGCGAAGGTAAATTTACTTAGCAAACTTTACATTTATCATAAAAATAAGAAGATGTAGTATGATTGCCATTTAGACAACTCGCCACCGGATCGAGACCGAATGACGTAGAAGTTAACAATTATAGGTTACCGTTCGACCTTCAACGATGAGCAAATCCTTTTCTGTACAGAAAGCTATAGAAGGCCCCGAAATGACAAATGTAAAACAATTTAAACGATATTTTTTTTTAAATATTATTGCTTTTATTGCATATAGTGTATTCTAAAAGTACACTGTAAAAATCGTGCATATAAAAAACAACCACCTGTAATAGATGAGTAGCTTTAAACCTTTTTAGAATTATGTTTAACATCTAAAAACATTTCTAAGTAATCGCATTAAATATACACATGTCTTAAATATTAACACTTTTAAATGTGTTTTAGAATTAAAGTGTTTAGAAATAAACACTAATTTCTCAGCTTAACACGATCCTTAACACGATTCGAAAAACTATTCTAAACACTTTCTTCAACCTAAACATGTTTTAGAACTGTGACATGTTGAAACACAACCGTGTAAAAAAAGTGCACACAAAATGAGCTTAGAATTGTGTTTATAATCTAAACACCATTTTACAGTGTATTTCCCTGTAGATATAGCTTATATTTTAACAGTATAGCATACAGACCAGGGAGCCATTTTATCAAAAACAAAATTGAAATAGTTTGAGGTAACGAATGACACCATATCGGGAGATGGAGAATACGCTTACTAAAATAATTAGTTCGTTTATATGAAATATAATTTATTTTTTATTCAAATTTAGTTCGTGTACATGCACTTTTCCATGAACGTCACGCCTCATACGCGTGAAAAAGAGTTTTGATGATTTTCGTTTAACCTAGGCTACTATAAGAATATGAATTGAAACCGGGAATGGGTCAAAATGACAACAACCCGACTAAAGAGCAGAAAAACAGCTGAAGGCCAGCGATGTGTCCTCAACGCAGCGAGAAAAAAATCTGCAACCGGAGGCGGGCTTCAGCTGGCCCTTATATAATAATGCATACTATAGTTCAGCGAAATGGACGCCACACTTAACCCCGAAACATACAAATGAACCAACATTAAAAATTACACACACACAAAACTTACAAAGCCTAAAAGTTCCTAACTTAGAACTTAATAAAACATGTACATGTACGAATGTTTAATTCTCTCTCTCTCTCTCTCTCATTCTCTCTCTCTCTCTCTCTCTCTCTCTCTCTCCACAAATTTCTGGATTATTATAAAGATAATGCATATTTCTTTCAATTGGAAATTCTGGACAGGTTTCAGAACATTTTGTAAGCTTGGTGCCCGGATTTCTGTTCAAAATGTTCTATGAAATTTAACAAAAAATGTTCCAAGAACATTAAAGATAACCGTATCCATGACGACGGGGTTTCTAGAGAGACAGTGCATTACATGTTCATCGCTAAATTATTCAGTGTAAAACATCTTGATGATTTAACAACAGTTTTATTTCCCGCGTCTGTAGACACGCATATAAAAAGATATTTTACATACTGTGTCATAATTGAATAGATTAAATGATCGAACCATTCCAATTAAATAGGTTTTCACTTAGGAGAAATGTCAACATAATAATCCTTATAGTATCAGTAATTTTGTTTGTGAACAAACAGAAATATCTGCAAAATGCACATAATACCCTGTGGATCTGGTCTAGTGTTGTATCATTTCTGAAAATGGAAAACATTTACATTTTGTTTTCATTTGTGAAGTGAATATGTTCAGTTTTATAAGAATGGACGAACAATAATCATAACTCTCTCTCTCTCTCTCTCTCTCTCTCTCTCTCTCTCTCTCTCGTAGTGTAGTAAACTTTGAAATATAGAAAATATAGACACACACAAATCTTAAGACTGGAAACCCTATTACCAGTACTATATCTCATGAAGCTTATGCAGTACATGCTCTTACCCATCGAGTCAATAAGACATAAGTCACATGTTTGAAAGAAAGAAAACTAAATAATTCATGTTGACCAAATAATTTATTTTTCGAATACAATACATCTACTAAGCTATACAAATTCTCCTTGAGCAACCGGTTTCAGTATAAAAATAAGAAGTTGTGTTATGATTGCCAAAGAGAACACACTCCATCAGAGACAAAAAATAATAATAAAAAAAAGGTCACCGTTCGGTCTGTGCAAAAATGACCAGAACCCATATCGCACCAGAGCAAGCTCTTAAAGACCCCGAAATGACATGTAAAACAATTCAAACGAATGTTTTGTAAGTTCAATTTTTTCTTTCAAGTAAATCAATAGATTTGTTATTGTTTGTTTTTTGCCAACGCAGTTTTTGTCCACATGTACCGGCCGGGGCATGTGTCCCTTTGCTCAATGCCTTTTGTGTGTTTTAATTCTCTGTTTAACACATTTTCTTCGGAACTTTTCTTGACTTAACATAACATTAGTGAGCTAATGACAAAATGTATTTAATTTTCATTTTGACATTGTAGGTGTACATGGTGTTTTGTGTATTTTAATTCTCTATTCAACTCATTTTCTTCGGAATTTTTTTTGATTTTACTTAACATATAAGTGAACTAATGACAAGAGTTATTTAACTTTCATTTTGATATTATAGGTGTACATGGTGTTCTATTTCATGGTGATCCTGATATCTACGGTTGTCATTCTTCTTAGTTCTCATGCAGATTTCCGAGAAGAGAGACGTGAATTTAACGGAAATTCAACAGAAATGAGAATCTATTTACAGGTCCAGCATGTGAACGAAAAAGTAATCACATTTGTTTTGAACCGCCCATTTCTAGTTCTGGTTATATTGGAAAGAATGACCGATTTATTTTTTGTCGTTGAAATGGCTGTTCGCTTTTCTGTCTGTCCCTGCAAGAAGACATTTTTTAAAAGTCTACTGAATGTTCTTGATCTTATTATTAACATTGCAATAATTGCGAAATTTGTTTTGGAGAACTATTACATTGCCATTTACAAAAGTCGCTCTTTATACATTATTTATGCATGTTGTCATGCCGTTGTAATTTTCAGACTTACCCGTGTTTTCCGTTTTGCTTTGCAATTCAGTGGTATTCGAATTTTGTTTCTTGCATTGTGGGATAGCCTTAAGGATCTCTCAATGTTGCTACTTATGTGTCTAACATTGGCAATAATCTTTGCTAACATGATATTTTATGCCGAATTTTCAAACTTCACGTTTTCAAACATGTTTCAAGGAATTTGGTTTGCTATTGTTACCATGACAACTGTCGGGTATGGAGACATATATCCGGTCACAACACTCGGTTGTACTGTAGGTGCATTTTGCGCCCTTTCTGGAATAATTATTTTAGCAGTACCTATCGCCATCGTTGCCGGTAACTTCACAACATATTACAAGAAATATACGGAGTTTCAGATGATAAAAGGAATGCAAGATGATAGACCTTTAACTCGATCACAAATATCCATTTGAAATTATTAAAACGGTTAAATTTTGCATAGCGCAAAAACCAGATTTAATAGTAAGTTAAATATAGCCATCCGGGCTCGTTGTATCTTTTTTTCAAACCAGCTTTTTCCGTTGTTTATTCTATACATAAATAAGTAGTTTTGACACGCGACGAATCGAAACAAGCGGATTGTATCAATAGATGCAGAAAACAATGTTTACATTTAATTAGAAATTGATAAGAATATCAAGATTTAAACATTCGTTAGATTTGTGGGTTGAATGAATCAGAGCATTATTATTCAATCTAAATTGCTATACATATATAACTAGTTAACGTCTGAAAAATCTTTATTTCTAGCTACAGGTAATAGATTTTTTTTATTTGCAGTGTTATTTACAGATGAGTTTTGCTATTGCTAGTTAAATATTACAAATTATTGATCTGCATTAAATTGATTATCTAAATACAGTAATATGTGTTATTTTGTTCTATATTGTATTTTGTATATTGTTAAACAATGTTCTACCATATTTCGAACTTGGTCACGATTTAATAAGATGTCTGATTGTAGACTTAATAAGAAAATTTTCCTTGAAGTAATAATCTCAGTTTTAATCAAGTAAAGACTTGGAACTGTAGAGTGGATAAAAAGTTTAAAGAACTTGATCTTAATCAGTATTGTAAAAATAAATGTTGAATGTATGTTTAGCAAGTCTGTTATTAAAGATATTGAAAACAACCTTTTTATTATGTACCAGAATAAATGGCATTCAAATTATTGTACAGAAAAAAATATTTAAGTATTACAGAAGTGCATATGCTAAATTTAAAGCAGGTGTCGCTCCAAATAGAATTGAAAATGGCAGGTATGAAGGTATAGACGTAAAAGAAAGGTGTTGTTTTAATTGTAGAAAGCATTATTTAGATATATAATAATTGAAGATGAAAAACATGTGCTGTTAGAATGCACAGAATGTGCAGATTTACGAACGATCTTTTTTAACAGTGTTTGTAACGTAGAAAGTAGTTTAATACTTTGTGTAATGAGGAAAAGTTTTTATTTATGTTTCATAACGACAGAGTTTGCTATTTTACAGCCAAAATCTTCAATGAAATACTGTTTAAGAGAAAATGTATTTTATACTCGTATAAACTGTATGTAAATAATGGTTTTTTTTATTGTCTGTTTGGGATTACAAAAGAATTGCTTTTTAATATTATGGTGGTTTATGCTAAGATATTATATTGATATATGTTATATATGTAATATAAATGTTGTTTTTTAATGTGTGTTTTAAAGTCTCTCATAACTCTTCTTATAGTGGCACTTTTATAAATTAATATGTTATTATTACATTGTGTTTTATATCAAATGTTTTAAAGAGGTGAGACTCTAGCTAATAAAGTAGTTGTTTGTTTGTTTGTTTGTTTATATATTAATTTTCTCATAATTATATATTCTCTGTGTTATTTGGTCCGCAATAATTTCGGCGTTTTGCAGTTTTAAAAAGATCATTACTAAAATTATCTGCTTACCCTTCCGGAGCAACTGTGATCACCCGTCTCAAGGTATTGTTGGGATTCGTGTTGTTCAGTCTTTAGTTTTCTATGTTGTGTTTTGTGTACTGTTGTTTGTCTGTTTATCTTTTTCTTTTTTAGCCATGACCTTGTAAGTTTATTTTCGACTTATGAGTCTGAATGTTAGTTTGATATCTTTCGCGTCTCTTGTCATATTGAGTTGTCATGGTAATCCACTTTCAAAATATTTATCTAAAAATGTTGCCTGTTTTATCCCTTCGTCCTTTCAAAAAGTTTCACATGCAGGAGCCTTCACGAGAAGATTGACCGTTACAGAATAAATGTGCCACAGATGACCACGGATATGTTCCAATTATTGTAGTCTCCCGTCCTCTTTTTCTCATAAAGAGGTTTATCACTTAATTCGTACATTGGTTCTTTTTTTTTTGTTACTTACCATGAGCAAAACTGTGATAGGGTCATATAAGGGCTTTTAATTATAGACTTAAAACTGGTTCAAATACTTTATTACATACCAGGAAAATATAACTCTGCAAAACAATAGCAAATATCATAAGCAATTTTACAAATGTTATATAGCATAATTAAACACAAGCAGTATTAACACTAGTATTATTAAACAGCAAGACAAAGCTAATAGAAAATTAATGTACAAATTATCCAATAAATACCATCGAAAAGTCAAATTTCTACCCGCAATGCGGCAAAACTTAAATGTACTCACTGTACTAACCAATAGACGTGTTAGGAAAGTCAATACGATTTTGACGCTGATGTTTAATACCAATACCACTACAGGCTATAGTGGGGACCATCTCAAAAAGCACAGATAATCATTCATTACAGTTACCTGTATAGGTTTGTTTGATAATATATAATGCTGAGATGATTTTTAAACAATAAAATAGTAACACTTTATTCAGCAATACACGGACGAGGATCCAGCAAAACAACACGATCATTATTATTAAAATTGCATTGTTTCATAGTAGTGATCGATTCAGTTTAAGATCGTTGTTCCCCCATTATTTACTATTTTGCTGAACGACTACAAGGAAAATCTACAAAGTGATCAAAATAAAGTGATCAAAATAAATGAATAAAAAAAGCCACAGGAATCAAATCACGTTCGAATCCGATTTTTTACTTGGTTCAAAACGTTCGTAAATTGAAATTTATTTAAAATATACTTGTCATGTCGGGTCTTTTGGTCTCTGGTAGATAGTTGTCTATTTTGGCAATCATACCACATCTCCTTATTTTATATCATTTTCTAAAATAGAGAAATGTGTTACACGGTAGCGTAAAATTCTAAAAATAAACCAAACTAGAAATTTTTGTACTTAACAATTAAAAAAAAAAGAATGAAACAAAGGCGTTTTCAATTTAATTATCTTTATATTTTTATTTTATCTAGAAAGGTCACTGGCAATTTAATGTAATGTTCGACAATACCTAAAAAAACGTTAAATTGTGTGAATTAATTATTCTTATTCACATTTTCCATGATATTTTCTTTCTATCAACCTTTATCAGGTAGTTTTTTCGGAAAAGAGAGGTTATCGAATTATGCTTTAAAAGATTACAACGTTTGGACATTATCAAGCATGTTAAATTTACGTTTCGGTTAAGGGTCGGACTTTGTTTTTTTTTCTTGTTATCACGGCTTCCTCCACCAACAAAACAGAACACCACAATTAAATTGAGATATTGTTGAAAGTGGCGTTAAACTTTCATATGGAGAAGTTAATTTTATTATCTTTGGGTTGGGAGGATATTTTGAAAATGGAATATTCATTTTCACGTCTTGCAAAACAAAGTCTGCTAAATTATACATCGGGCATTTTTTTTTTTTCGATTTCCTTCATTTTGTTTTGACTAATATTCACTATACACTCCGCTTTCTAAATTTGACGGTATATAGTGATGGATGAATGGGTCCATCCGTCCGTTCTTTCGTCCCTCATCATACCCAGATAGAAGTAGACAATACGAATAGCTCGTGAAAAGTGGTTTTCTTGAACATTAAAACGATGCGCAGCAAGACAACCTTCTTTTGTAGCCCCCTGCTTCTTAAAGTTTTATACAGAAATAGCACTGTGTCCACCTGTGTCAGCCTGTAGCCACCAGTTTCTATAATTTTATATAGAAATAACGTTGTGTCCACGTGTGTCCGCCTGTAACCCCCTCTCTCTTAAACTTTTATATAAAAATTACGTTGTGTCCAGCTGTGTCCGCTTGTAGCCCCTGTTTCTGTAATTTTTATATAGAAATAACACTGTGTCCACGTGTGTCCACCTATAGCCCCTGTTTCTTTAAGTTTTATATAGTAAACTATACTGTGTCCAGCTGTGTCCGCCTGTATCCCCTGTTTCTTTAAGTTTTATATAGGAAATAGCACTGTTTCCACTTGTGTCCACTATTTATTTTTATTTTTTTGTAAATAGATTTAACGATGTGTTCAAATTCATTTATACTGATTTGTTTAAGCCTCACAAACGTGTCCCTGTATCCCCGGACACAAAATACATGCTAACTATATTTTGCAACGAAAATAGGACAAGTTTTGTTTTGCACTCCTAAATCAAACAAATACAAATGTATGTATGAAGATCTAGGTAAGGCCAATGCACGTCTTAAAATTTGGAGTCGACGTTAACCGTTCGCTTCATGTTGTATCGAACACACCACAAAGCTAAACTATACTACGCCGGGATACTTTTCAATGCAATTGCATTTTGAGAAAGTCCATACTTAGTCTTGTATCGGTATTGGTATTTAACATCAGCGCAGTATTTAAATCCCTTTCCTAACACGTCTAATAGTACACGAAAACGTCATACATGCACTGTAGTACTAACTGTATGGGGTTCAATACAGGATAATCATATGCTTCAATAGTCAATTATTCATTACACCATAGCGGGGACTTAATTTGGAAATTGGAAAGCTATAGCGTAATGAGTTCAGAAAATGTCTGCAAAATATTTTAACAACGTTAGATCAAATTAAATATTTTCATAGTTTATTGAAACAATTTGCTGAAATGGAAAATTGGTTAAAGTTATAAAGATACAAAGAAAAACATAAAAAGGATACTATAAATCGCTGCCACAAACACGACAATGCCACATGGGAACAGACGACACTTGCCGTTCCGGAGCACCTGATATCATCCCCCGTTTTTTTTGTGGGATTATATTGTTCAGTTTTTAGTTGTTTATGTAATGAGTTGTGGACTATTATTTGTCTTTTCGTCGTGTTTCCCTTTTTTTACATGATATTTTGTCGGTCTTTCTTCGGTTTATGAATTTGATTCTCCCTTTGGTATCTTCCGCCTCTCCCTTTGGTATCTTCCGATTCTCCCTTTGGTATCTTCCGCCTCTCCCTTTGGTATCTTCCGATTCTCCCTTTGGTATCTTCCGCCTCTCCCTTTGGTATCTTCCGATTCTCCCTTTGGTATCTTCCGCCTCTCCCTTTGGTATCTTAAGATTCTCCCTTTGGTATCTTCCGATTCTCCCTTTGATATCTTCCGCCTCTCCATTTGGTATCTTCCGATTCACCCTTTGATATATTCCGCCTCTCCCTTTGATATCTTCCGCCTCTCCCTTTGGTATCTTCCGATTCTCCCTTTAATATCTTCCGATTCTCCCTTTGGTATCTTCCGCCTCTCCCTTTGGTATCTTCCGCCTCTCCCTTTGGTATCTTCCGATTCTCCCTTTGGTATCTTCCGATTCTCCCTTTGGTATCTTCCGCCTCTCCCTTTGATATCTTCCGCCTCTCCTTTTGGTATCTTAAAATTTTCCCTTTGGTATCTTCCGATTCTCCCTTTGGTATCTTCCGATTCTCCCTTTGATATCTTCCGATTATCCCTTTGGTATCTTCCGATTCTCCCTTTGATATCTTCCGCCTCTTTCTTTGGTATCTTAAGATTCTCCCTTTGGTATCTTCCGTTCCGATTCTCCCTTTAATATCTTCCGCCTCTCCCTTTGGTATCTTAAGATTATCCCTTTGGTATCTTCTGATTCTTTCTTTGGTATCTTCCGATTCTCCCTTTGATATCTTCCGCCTCTCCATTTGGTATCTTAAGATTCTCCCTTTGGAATATTCCGATTCTCCCTTTGGTATCTTCCGCCTCTCCCTTTGATATCTTCCGCCTCTCCCTTTTGTATCTTCCGATTCTCCCTTTGGTATCTTCCGCCTCTCCCTTTGGTATCTTCCGATTCTCCCTTTGGTATCTTCCGCCTCTCCCTTTGGTATCTTAAGATTCTCCCTTTGGTATCTTCCGATTCTCCCTTTGATATCTTCCGCCTCTCCATTTGGTATCTTCCGATTCTCCCTTTGATATCTTCCGCCTCTCCATTTGGTATCTTAAGATTCTCCCTTTGGAATATTCCGATTCTCCCTTTGGTATCTTCCGCCTCTCCCTTTGATATCTTCCGCCTTTCCCTTTGATATCTTCCGATTCTCCCTTTGGTATCTTTCGATTCTCCCTTTGGTATCTTCCGATTCTCCCTTTGGTATAATCCAATTCTCCCTCTGGTATCTTCCGCCTCTCCCTTTGGTATCTTCCGATTCTCCTTTTGGTATCTTCCGATTCTCCCTTTGGTATCTTCCGCCTCTCCCTTTGATATCTTCCCATTCTCCCTTTGATATCTTCCGCCTCTCCCTTTGATATCTTCCGCCTCTCCCTTTGGTATCTTAAGATTCTCCCTTTGGAATCTTCCGATTCTCCCTTTGGTATCTTCCGCCTCTCCCTTTGATATCTTCCGCCTCTCC